TCTCTTATACACATCTAGATGTGTATAAGAGACAGCTCTCTCTCTCTCTCTCTCTCTCTCTCTCTCTCTCTCTCTCTCATGCGCACTCTTAGTCTCATTGCTTTGACTACCTTAGGGTTGCGTTCCCCGCGCCCACGCGATAGATAATAAGGGGGTGCTTTGTCCAAATATGTTTCAAATGGGACGTTGAGCCTTGTTCCCAGCACGTGTGACTTCCCAAGAACAGATTGGAGCATTGTTCCAAAAAAAAGGAAAAAAAAAAAAAAGTGGCCAGATCTAGTCCTTTACAAGGACTCAATCTGCCCGCTCATTTTGTGATTTTGCGAGTTTGAAGGCCTAGTTCGCAGCCCTTAGGCTGCGGTATAGTGGGCTTCGGCATCTGTGTCAAGGTGTCGCATTTTTGGCGGTGGGCGACCAAGACGCAAAGTGGGTTCTTAAGGGACAAACAAATTTGGGGGACCGGTCCTTGCCAAAATTGCGGACTACCTACAGCTAGCTCTGGTAGAACCGGGACTTTTGGAAAAACGAAAGACCGGTCCTCGGGTAGAAGTGGACCCCAAAAAGAAGTGGGGGGCATTGGACCGGTCCTCGGGTAGAAGCGGACCCCAAAAAGAAGTGAGGGCATGTGAACTGCAAAAGGGCCCTCAGGCCCAGGCGTTGAGCCCCGTCTTCTCAAAAGAGGGAGGTCAGGCACAACGAAACAAGCGTTTTGCAAGAGGCAACTTTGACGATTTTCTGTGCTCACACGAACATGCACAAAAATCTGAATTTTTGAGAATCCATAGATGAGGTTGTATTCTTTCCAGAAATAATAATAGAACATTTACAATAAATCATTTAGACTGCGAAATAATTGTCGCACCGATTCAGCACATTTCCATTTTTGCCACTCAGCCATGCTTGGGCCAACTAAAAAAATACTCAAAATTCAGTGAGTTTTCTCGCTCAGAAAAATGCATGAAAAAACCTGAAAATTGGAGTACTCGTAGATTTTGTTGTGATCTTTCCAGGAAAAACGCTACATAAATTTTAAAAAATCATTCCAACTGCGATCTACTGGGTTCGGCGTCTGTGTCAAGGTGTCGTATTTTTGGCGGCGGGCGACCAGGACCCAAAGTGGATTCTTAGGGGGCAAAAAAATTTGGGAAACCGGTCCTTGCCAAAATTGCGGACTACCTACAGTTAGCTCTAGTAGAACCGGGACTTTTGGAAAAACGAAGGACTGTTCCTCGGGTGGAATTGGACCCCAAAAATAAGTGGGGATGGGGTAAGGGCCCTTAGGCCCAGGCGTTGAGGCTGGTCTTCTCAAAACAGGGACGTCAGGTGCAACGAAACAGGCGTTTTGCAAGAGGCACATTTGACGATTTTCTGTGCTCGGAGGAACCCGCTGAAAAATCTGAAATTTTGAGAATCCATATATGAGGTCGTGTTCTTTCTAGGAAAAATATTAGAACATTTTTAAAAAATCATTTAGACCGAGAAATAATTGTCACGCCGATTCGGCACATTTTTCATTTTTGCCACTCAGCCATGTGTGGGCCAACTTAAAAAGTACTCCAAATTCAGCGAGTTTTCACTCTTAGAAGAATGCGTGAAAAAACCTGAAATTGGAGTACTCATAGATTTTGTTGTGATCTTTCCAGAAAAACGCTAAATAAATTCAAAAAAATCATTCCAACTGCGAAATAGATCGCGGCCGCAATTTGCCATTCAGCCTCTCTCTCTCTCTCTCTCTCTCTCTCTCTCTCTCTCTCTCTCTCTCTCTCTCTCTCTCCCTCCCTCTCTCTCTCTCTCTCCCTCTCTCTGGTAGGCCCCCCGCCTCCCTCTCTCTCTATCTCTCTTTCTTTCTCTCTCTCTCACACTCGTATCAACAAATGGAACTAAACTCTCTCTCTCTCTCTCTCTCTCTCTCTCTCTCTCTCTCTCTCTGTCCCGCTCTCTCCCCCTCTCTCTCTCTCTCTTGTGCGAGCTCTTAGTCTCATTGATTTGGCTACCTTAGGGCTGCGGTCCCCTCTCTCTCTCTCTCTCTCTCTCTTGTGCGAGCTCTTAGTTCGCAGCCCGTCAGGGTTGCGTTTTCCCCCCCGGAGACATTTTCGTCGTCGTTCGTTATACCGGTCGTTCATTCTGTCCCATTGGTCGTTCAAAGGCTGGTAAAATGAAAGGCACTGGCATTTAGGGGGGGGGGGGGCGCAGTTCAAGCAAATGCAGGACCGGTATTTGCCCCTGGCATTTTCCTGGGAACCGGTAGGTGGCCGTGGTCTAAAATATTTTGAAACGGCGTGGGGGCCGCAGGTCCTTGAAATTCAAATATGAAACAGCGTGGACCCAGGCCTACAGCCTCATGCCCAGCCCACCCAAAACGAAACGAACTACGGGCTGCGCACCCGTGCCCTCACGGTAAGTCAATCATTGATTTGGCTACCTGAGGGCTGCGTTCCCTTGGTAGACGATGTGAGTATGCTGTTAGCAAGAAAAAAGAAACGGCAAATAGGTGAGTGGACACGAGAGCTGCAAATAGATAGAAGAACGTGAAAGCCAAGGGTGGGTGGAGGGACGCAAATAGGCACGGCGGAAACAACTACGGTAGCAACCAACAAGCAAGGCCATTGGGTGCTACCTAGGCAGTTTGGCGAGTGGGGAGTCGCTTGGCGCGCTTGGCTCGAATCGTCAAACTGATTGGCGTTAGCCCACAGACTGTAGACGGATCCATTGGAAAGGGAGCACCCTATGGGTAGGCGGTAGTTATGGTATCAAAGATTTCAAAAAGTATCTTTGTTCCACGGAAGCGGCGGGGCGCGATCGTGGCTCCCCGCGGCTATCGCTTCGTGTAGGCGTGCGCGCGCCCACTACCACTTCCAAACCCCTGCCACCGTGCAACCCGAACACCGAGAACTTTTCCCAAAAAAAAAAAAAAAAAAAAAGAACACCGAGAACTGCTGAAGGAACACGTAGACGACAAAAAACGCAAATGCCGAAAACGCAGATCGTTACGGCAATATCCGAGTTCCCGAGACCAGAAGCAACTGAACGGATCAGCCTGGAAACTCCCCCGACCCTCGAGCGGTGGGACTTGCTCTTCGCGCCACGGGCCGCGGTTCCACGGCAACGCTGCGGTGGCGGTCGACTGTACCTAAACGGTAACAATTTGCCGCCACCCCGCTCACAACTTTCCAAAATGATCGATACAGATTCGTTCGTTTGGCGTGGAAAATCTTTTATGGCGGGCGTCCGGTCGGCTTGTTTGCTTGCTTGCTTGGCTGTCTCTATGTGCAAGCAGGCGCGGTTGGCGTCTCTCTCTCTCTCTCTCTCTCTCTCTCTCTCTCTCTCTCGGTTCATTTGACCCCCGCCTTTCTTCTTTTGTAGGTATGTATGGCGTTTATCTGGAGATTCATGTTGGCGGTGACAAAGGAGTGCATGAAGGCGGGAAGAATCGTGGCGATCTTTTCGCTGCCCAACAATCCCTGTTGCAGGGGAAGACCAAAATAGGAACGAAGTACACAGAAGATTAATATGGCTGGCCCGCTCGCAAGGATGGCCGTACAAAGCGCTATTTAAGCGCGGAAGAGAGAAGCAAGGAAGTGAAGAAAGTACACGAGAGGGTAGGGGAGCTCAGACGATGTTATTTGGCCACACATAGAGTATATGTGCACGTGTAGTGTCTGAACTTCGGCCCGAGTGGCGTGCCTGTTGCCCGCAAAAATCTCGGGACGTGACGTTATTTTCTCTCCTAACGTAACCTTTATCTGCTCTTCTTCTTTCCACTTCTTTTGGCATGCATGCTCGTGTTTACCAGCTCGGCCTGTTAAGTCAGGTAGGGGGGAGAGCATTCCCGCAGTCTCTGGGGATTCGCCAGTAGCCGTCTCGGATGGGCAGGTGGTTGACGAAAATGGTGAGGTTGATGACCGCGCTTAGTTCTCGGTAACAATATCTGCGCGGAACATAGGCACCTGCGCAGTGCTCTGGCCGTTTTACAGTAGTGACATTTACGCGGGAGGTGATAGGAACGTTGCCGAATGTCCGATTTCTCGTCACGATTTTTTGACCTGCGGCTGCGTGATCCAGCTTGCTGTTTCGTTTCTCTCTCTCTCTCTCTCTCTCTCTCTCTCTCTCTCTCTCTCTCTCTCTCTCTCTCTCTCTCTCTCTCACGTTCGCTCGCTCGCCTCCTCCTTCCCCCCGTTTCTCCGGGGGAAGGGGGGCTGCAACTTAATGCGTTCGACTGGAATTCGTCGACGGCAACTTTGCGCGATCCACCAGGGCGATGCGGCACTGGGTTTGATGATTGATCATCAGATTCGGCTTGATGATCATCGGATCATCCTGACTGACCAGCCATACTGACTGCTGATTGATTGATTGATCGCTTGGGCTAGGTGGTGTTTCGAGTAATTCGTAGGGAGCTTGGGCGAGCAAGGCGGGAAAGTGGTTTTTTCTACTTGGACGTCACGCGGCAGTCTGCAGTTCGTGCAGGATGCTGGCCCAGGCGGTTTTGCGTACTACTCAGAGTGTGACTGTTCCTAATGTCTTGTCGGCAGAGGTTGGCGCAAGGGGGACGTTGTTGGAGGTCGCTGGAAAGACGGCGGGAGGTAGTGGATCTGCATCTACGACATCGGTGGGGGCGACAGCGGGTTTGTTTTCGTGGGAGAGCAATCGCAGCGGATGCTGGCGGGTAGCTGTAGCTCATCAGTCCTTGTGCGGGTGCGGCGGCGCTGCGTTGCGCGGAAGAAGCGCGACACCAGCGCAGCAGCCGCAGGGGATATGCGCCTATTCCCGTGCCAGGCATGCGGGAACTTCTGACCCTGCGCGCGCAGGTTGGGCGGAGAGTGTCGTGTGTGGTTACCACCATCATCATCACGGTCATCCTCGCCCACTTGAGAAAAATCGAGCTCCGCGTGGTTGCGGGTCCGGATTGAGCGCTCCAGCGTATGACGGCCTGCGGCGGGCGGAAGTGAGCGCTGGAGCTGCTTCTGCACCGAGCCTGTTGGCCAGGGGCGAAAGGAGAAGGAGAGGGTGTGGGGGGGGGCATTGCGAAGAAGTGGACGCGACGGTGATGATAGGGGAGGAGTCACGCAGGGATGTGCGAGGGGAGAGAGCGTGGCGACGTGCAATTAACAAAAGGGGAGGAGGGTGTAGAGCGCACAGTGAAGGGGGAAATGGAGGTGGTGGGCATGAAGAGGGGGGGGAGGTGGTCGTGAAGTTGCGCCTGGATCACCAAGTGCAGTATGGGGAGAAGCACGCGGTGTTGGGCTCGACGGAATGGCTGGGGAAGTGGAAAAAACCGGTGGAAATGGTGTGGAGTGAGAGTGGATGGGTGGCCCAGTTTCGCTTGCCTAGGCATGAGCATGCAGACAAAGTGGAGTTTAAATTCGTCATCCTGAAAGGGGACGGGACCGTGGAGTGGGAAGCGGGAGAAAACCGTAGTTTGAAGATACCGCGCGGTCAAATGGGAGGAGGGAGAGTTGTGTGCGAGTACGTCACACAATGGGCCAAGCCCGGACGGATCGTGAGTTCGTCCGCGGAAGGGTCGGATAGAAAGTGGGACCACCATCATGGGCAGTCGGGGCAGATAGCTGAGCAGCAGCAGAAGCAGGATGCTAGAGTGGAAAGAGAGGAAGGTAGGGAAGGGGCTGTGGAATGGAACAGCAACTTCGTTCAAGAGTGGCAGGGTAAGGACCCTGCGTTCATGAGGAGTAACGCGCATGCAAGGGAGAGGAAGGGGATGTGGAATACCGAAGGACTCGATGGCGCTGCGCGTGAGATCGTGGAGGCGGACAGGAGCGCCGGAAACTGGTGGCGGAAGGTATGCCCTCTAACCCCCATCACTTGTCTTCTCTCTGTCCCTCCAGTAATGCTTATTCCGTGTCATTGGTCGCTCCCTCGCTCCCTCCCTCACTGTCTTTCCCTCTCTCTCTCTCTATCTATCTTTCCCCCTCTTCCACCTGTCTC